CCCTGTGCCCCGTTCCCCCTGTCTCCCAGGAGCATCACCATTACTCTTGGCTGATCTCCCTTGGTGTCCTGCCCAGAGCCTCCATGAGAGTGGGGCACCCAGGGGAGGTGGAAGGAGCCTGGGGTAGGAATCTAAATTCCTGGTCTAAATTTCTGTACCTCTCTCATCAGGAGACACTGGGCAGGGCCTGGGCCTTCTGTGAACCTCATTTTTCTCACCCGTCAAATGGGACACCTCATCTCAGCCCTAGCTGCCTTGGAGAACTGTGGGAGGGAATGAGAACAAGTAGATGTTTTATAAACTCCAGATGCTGAGTGAGAGAAGCAGAGTGGGCCTAGGTAGAAACCAAGAAGCAAGAGCCTGAAGCATTCCTTTCATGTCTTTTCTCTTCCTCCAACCCGCCCCCCCCNCTTTGTCCAGGCCGGGTGGCCCCATTGAAAAAGCACCACAGAAGGCTCAGCTGCTGCAGAAAGGCCTTTACTAGGCAGACGGGTGCATCTGATGCCAACAGGCCAGGGTGAGGGGTGAGGACACATCCTCTGGAGTAGCGGGGGTGGCATCCCTGCCTGGGGTGTCAGCCTGAATGCACTAAGGGCTGGCCCTTCAGACAGGCTCAGGGGAGGTCCGCCCACTAGGGCTTCGGGCCCCTCCTTCATGGAGACGCCACTCCTGACACACGGAATGTGGCCCTTGCTCTCACGTCTGTCTTGGCTGCTCAGAGAGCACTATGGGGTGGGGTCGGGGGCTTGGGAGGGCCCTTCAGGAAGGAGAGAGGCTGTACGTTGCAGAGGAGGGAGGTTGGACAGTGTGGTAAACCCAGAAACTTCTGGGTACTTTAGTGGTGGTATTTGGAGGCAGTGGGAGATGCTGGCCCCAAAGCTGGGGTTTAGGTAAAGCAGAATAATTGGATCTAGGGTTGGTTTCCTTTGGGTTCAGCTAAAAGTGAATTGTTATCACTGGAGCAAAGAAATAGAGAGAAGGGGGTGGTGTTCTCTAGCACTCTGCACAGCACACAGGTGTGGGCACACATACTGGTACACATTCCTTGGAATTCACACAGGTAGACATGTGGCTGCACACTCGTGCATTCACACACGTCACACATCTTTAGACATGTGGGCAGACACCCACATGCACAGCAGTAGATACATGCTTGTATGCACACTTCTGGGTCAGGCTGGGGCCTTGTATAATAGGAAGGGGTCTATGGTGGGAGTGGTGTGGCCGGAGAAATGGATTCCTTCCTGAACAGAGTCCCTCCCAGCCCTGCATGGTGGATGTGGGGTGGGGCAGGCCTCATTTACTTCCTGGCGGCCGCCAGGGCTTCCTGCTGCCTCATGTAGGCCAGGATGTCCACCTTGACGTTGCTGACTGTGGTCCGGTGGTACCAGCGCATGATGGGTTTGCCATCTGGCCCCACCAGGAACTTCTCAAAGTTCCAGCGGATGTCATGGACCTTCATAGGTTCCCAGAAGAGGCGGTTAGGCGAGCCCAGGAGCTCCGAGGTGGGAGGACAGGAGTTCTGGAACAGGGATGAGTGATGTTAACGCTGCTTGGGTCCCCTCCCACCCTCCTACCCGGGCTGAGAACAGCCTGCCACTGAGAAAGGAGCAGCAGTTTGGGAGGTCAAAGACTGGATCTCAGAACCACCTTTGTAGCAAATCGTGAGACCCTTAACTGTCCCTTCTGGGGCCCTGCCTGGGCCTTATTTGTAAGATGGGCTGATGAGCTCTAGGGTGTGCAAAGCCCTCTAGTTGGAACAATAGTCAGATGCCAAAAAATTCCCCAAGAGCAGGGCAGGGCAGCATGGGCCTTGTCTGTGAGGGCTGGAGCCGAGTGGCCACAGCCCCGTCCCGAGCCAGCAGCACAGGGCAGAGCCACGCCTGCAGAGGCTGCTCACTCACCTTCAGGAACGTGTAGACCTTTTGTTCATTCTCCCCATTCACATCTCCTTTCTCAAAGAGCTGGAAATTGGGGACGAAGCCCCCCCCCGGTCGTACATACCTACGAGAGATGTTCTTAGGTGGGTGCCAAGGATATGGATGGGCACAGAAATGAGGGGAAGGGGCAGAACAAGGCAGCAGGTGTTGGGAATCTGGATGTTATTCCATAGTGGGCAGTGGGAGCCAGTGAATATTGACTGGTCATAGGCATAATGTGTGTCTGCAGCCTTCCCTTTCCAGTTTGGTACCTTCTCAGTAACCCCTGCCCCCCACATGCAGCCTCCCATCCCGTCGGGCACTCACAACCAGTCCTCCCTGTCCTTCTTGTCCCCTCTTCCCCTCATTCCACTAAATGGGGTTCCTGGAGAGGGAGAGGAGTTCTTGGGAGCTGATAAATGTCCATCATGAGTAGGAGCCAATGCAAGAGATGCCTGGAGCTTGGGCTGGGACACACCCATGGGGTGGTGGTGCTGGAGGAGCTTTCTCTGGGCGCTGAGTGAGCACTCACTTGAGGGAAGGTAGGATCTCCGAGTTCTGTCCTGGCTCCTGTTTTCCGAATTGGTTGCAGGGGAAGCCCAGAATGACCAGACCAAATGGTTCCAGCTCTTCCTGTAGTGCATTCAGTTCTAGGCCAGGAGGAGAGAGCAAAGAGCAGTAGCCTGGTGAGGAGCCCTGCCTGCCTGTCGTACAACTGCAATCACTGAGGCCCAACAGTGGGGGCTTGCCAGGATCACTCGGTGAATGTGTCAATGCTGGGATTCAAGTCCCATCTTCCTGGCTCTAAGTTGGTTGGGTTGGAAGTTTGGCGGGAAAAGAAAGTAACACCCTTTCTCAAATCAGTAGTCAGTCACCCTCCCACTGCCAAGGTCCACCACCTGAGCCAAATTCCTTCAGGATTCTCAGGATTGAGTTTCCTGGAACCATAACTATCCACTCCAGAAGGAAGGCAGAGGATTTCCCTGGGCTGGGGTAGGGCCCTCACAACCCTCCTGTACTCTGGGAATTCAGAGGTCTGGCCCAGCTCCCTCAGTACAAGGCCATACCCAACCCTACTCCCGCACAAATGCACCGCTCTATTCCAAGGGCCTGGCAGAAGCACTCCAGACAGAGCGCCTACCCACTGCACATACAGCCCGCTGTCACTCCACTTGTAGGAATTTCCCGTCCTTGCCAGGCAGAGCATTCAGGTTGCCCTGCCTCCTTCCAGCCCCTCCAGCTAACTGCTCAGCCCAGAGCATTTTCCTGGGGGTGCTGTCAGCTGCCTGTGGCCTGCATGGTCCCTCTCTGTTCAGCTAAAAGGAGAGGAGTGGAGACACTAGAGATTGTAAAACCTGGGTGAAACGCCTCAAGCCCACTGCCTGCTTTCCAGATAGGGGCCAAGAGAAGTCCTAAGGGCAATGTGGCTAGGGGCAGAGGAGAAATTCTCAGCAAGAGAAAGCTACCATTTCTTTCTCCAGTGAAAGAACACGTTAGGCACAAACACAATCTCCTCCATCCCTCCGCACTCAGGGAAGCTGAGGTGCCCGGGGATGAAAAAAGATAGTAGGGAATCTTCTAGAACATGTCCAAGGCAAATGGATCTCAGGCTTAGATAGTTATCTTCACCAAACCATGGAACACAGAATTGGGATACACGATTTGGAATCTCATCATCGCTGTCACTCGCTCCCCCCTGTACCAGGAAAACGCCTGTGACTGAAATATCCCCAACTGGCAGAAACAGCCCCAAATAAAGCAGGGGAGGAGGGGTGGGCTCTTACCAACGTACTGGCCCGTCAGGCCTCAGTAGCTGGCCACGTTGACAAAGAGGACGTATTTGCCAGCATACTGCTTGAAGGGGATGTACTCCTCCCCGTTGAGGGTGAGGGCTCCATAGTCGTAGATGGTGCCACTCACTTGGGAATGGCAGTCCGTCTGCAACAGAAGACCAGCGCCGGCGGCGGTTAGAGCTGGGAGGGAACTCAGATATCAGCACTTTCAAGACCATGCCAAGCTCTGGAACTAGACTAGAACCGAGGTCTCCTAATTCCTTGTACAAGACAATGATTTTGAAAGCACTTAATACGCTGGTAAGTGCTATGGAAATGTGGAGAATTACTTCCTGTCATCATTAGTTCACAGCACAAGTCGATTTATAAATGTTTACCAGGCCCTGAAGGAGACGACACTGATGCCGGCGGTGGCATTACTGGATGGGCTGATGGAGACTGGTTGGGTGGCTGTTGCCATAATCCAGGCAGGTGATGGTGAGGGCTGAACTAGACCACTGTAAAGGAAGAACTGAGCAGAAAGAAGGATGTGGCAGGACGCAGAGTGGTGATTCAGAGGCTCCATACCTGGGGGACTGGAAAGCTGAGGCTGATGTAAATAGGGACGGAGGAGTAGGAGCCAGGAATGGGGAGAGGCCTGCTGTGAGGATGAAGGGTAAAGAACAGCGCCTCACATATACTAGATGTCCCTGTAAGTGAGCATTTGTGACACTGACCCTTGTGCCTTCCTCTCTGCCCAACCTCTGCTCACAGTCAACCTCCAGGACAAGTAGGGACAGGGTACAATGGACTGTGAGTCGGGGGGCCTGGGTTTCATGTCCAGCTCTGCCACTAACTCCCTGTGTGGTCCTGGACTGGCCCTTTCTCTTCTCTGGGCCTCAGTTTCCTCTTCTATAAAATGAGAACCTTGAACTGGATCAGCTGTTCATCATGATGGCTGGACAGCATCCTATCAGTGGGAATACTGCTAGCAAGCAGGAGATCACATTGACTCCACTGCCCCTCCTTCATCTCTGGCTCCGATTACAAAAATCTGGGTCTACTCTTGAAAGGATGTCATGGCATCAATAACAACCAGCAGGTGTGCTGGTAATGACGGGAAAGAAAAGAGCTTGCTGCTATTGTATCAGGTAGTCTCTATGGTGCTTTCTGGCCCTGACTACCTATGAGAAGTGGAAAGATAAACTAGCATTGTAGACGAGGAGAGATGGAGACAGGTGATTGGAGCAAGTCCACGCCCTCTCTTCCCATCAATCCTGGAAGACTTGCTGTTGAGGTGAGGTACCTGGGCCCAACTGTGTGAAGGGAGCCATCTGGGCTGGCAGGGCGTGGCTCCAGGTGAAGAAAAGCCACCTCTGTCTTGAAGATGCCACAGGCCTGCTGAGCCAGGTGAGGCTGGGTCCCTCTATTCCCTGACAGCCACAAGCTCTCTTGGCTTCGGTGCAAATTCCCTGCTTTGCATGAATCTAATATTCCATGCCCCATGACTTGGTGGTGCTAAGGGCTGGTTCCTCCAGCCCCTGGGCCTCCTTGGCCCCAGCTGGGATCAGTTCCACTTGAAAATGCAAACAACTGAGGGCACAACAAACACACACCCCAGCGGGGCGCAGAGGTCTACAGCCAGGAGGCAAAGCCCCCATGTGCACCTCTCAACCTCCTCCACTCCTCCCCTTCCAGAAAAAAAAAGCCAAGAGGTTGTCCAAATAATGGAAGCTTGTAAACAACAGGAGGATCAACTTCTGCGCAGTTTCAGGGTGGGGGTGGGGCAAGGGGAATCTCCTCTTTTCGGTTTTAGTCTTTGCTGGCTGTGCAGCTCTAGGCAAGTCACTCTCATACTCTGAACCTCCTAGAATGACCGTGATAATCTGATGACAGGTCAAACTGCCTCGAAAGCCTCTCGGAAAAAAATCCCCACATCAAGGGATAGCGATTATTCTGCCTGCAGCCAGGGTAAAGGGCGCGCTGTTCCTACATTATTGTGAAGAGACCTTTGATGTTCCCCAGCCACTATGAAGCTGATACACTGGCAGGGTGTCTCCAGGAGGGACCAGTGACAGAGCTTCCACGCTTTCTACTGGGGACAGTGAGGTCAGTGCTGTGGGTTCAGACCAGTGGGGGTCAGAAGGTGGCCAGGGTCGGGGAAGCCATGGCTTGCACTCACCACTGGGCACTGCAGCCCAGTTCTTACATGAGCCCCCTTCCCTCCTCTGGGCCTGTGGAATCCCAGAGCCTTCAACAGAGAAGACTGAGGGGAGAGGCAACGAGAGTGCCTCGGACCTCCCAGTTGGACAAGACAGGAGAGTTCTGATGGCTGGAGAGTGGGAGGAGGAGAGGGACTCTGCAGGCTGGCTGGGGCTGCTGCTCTTGTGTCTTTCTCCTCTCTGGTCTTACCACTCCCATCAGTGTGATGCTGTGAAAGGAGAACTGGCCTGGGGACAGGAGACCTGGGCTCTGGGCCTGGCTGTGCCTCTGACTCTGTGAGGACTCCTTTTCCAGCTCCCCCTCCGTGAGATGGGGTCAGACTCAGTGCTGTCATAAGGGCCCTTCAGCTCCGTCAGCCTGCGGTTCCATGGTTCTCTCTGCCTGATTTAGTCACCTAGAAACCAGCGGTTACTAGGATCCTGTGCACGTCAGCAGTTGTTTCTCTCTCCAGCTTCTGCACAGTCCTTTTGTAGAGCAAGCATAGGGAGCCTGGGCAGCCTTAAGCTAGACTGGAGAGGTGACACAGCAAGGAAAGGAGGATTCCCTTTGTTTTCTAGCCCACTTCTCTCAACTGGGACAAGGCAAACATCTCTCTGGGTCTGTTACCTTTGGTCCGTCCCATTCTCCACATGCCTCCTGCCCCACCTTTTGGCCCTGGAGTGAGTGTAAGTTAAATGGTTGAGTCCTAGAACCAGGGTTATGACATCTCAACTCCCTAAGGTACTTAGAGGAAAGATGGCCATGCCCAAACTGTTATTAGCCAGCAAGTCCTAGCTGGTAGCATCTGATATGATCATACCTCACCCTAAGACTTTTCTAGACCATACCCATCCTGTTATCTCTAAATCCATCTATTCCTCCCCAGAGTTCTGCAGAGAACACACAACTATGATGAGTTATTCATGGGGTCCACGTTCTTACCTCCAGCCTTCCTGAGGCAGGGCCCAATCTGCCCTTCTCTGGCTCTCCCCACACTGAGGGTACAGGACTGACTCCATGGTGCTGGCCTGCCCATGTCTGCCCCCACCTCCCCTCCACACCCTAATCTTGAAATCAGTCCCATCTCTCCCCTGGAAAATGCCTTTTGAGTTGGGGATTATGAACAGGGCTGGAGGAAGCTTGGAGGAAGTGGCTTGATAGCCATCTAGTCTCTAAGCTGACTCCAAGGAGGGACACACGGAATGAGATTTAGGCCGAGGACAAGACAGGGGACAGAAACAGAGAGAAGGAACCCTGTGCTTGGAATGGGCTTCCTGAGCAGTGGATGGAATTTTGGAAACAGAATCATAGGCTCTTAAGATCTTAGGATAAAGACCCAGAAGATTTTAGAAACACAGAAGCTCAAAGGTTCTCTTGAGTTTACACAAGCATGGTGTGTGTGTGTGTTGGCAGGTTGGAGACAGAAATCTCTTTTTCTGGGTCTAGCCCTATGCCTGGCTTCTGCCTTCCTAGTTCCTTTTCCTGGGGAAGGGGAAAAGTCTGCAGGGCCCACCTTGGCATATACAATCTAAGGAGACAGGTATGCCAGGTCATCCTGGCCTCAGCATCCCCACTCTAGCTAGCGAAGGGTCACACAGCCTGCCGGGGATAGACGGGGGCTCAGGAGAAGTCTGCCTCTCCGACTGAGCTGGCAGCCCCCAGCCTGCCCCACACCCAGTATGCTCAGGCCAGGATGGGCAGTGGGTGCCCACACACACCTCCGGCAGATGGAGGAACAGGCCCAGAAGGGGCAGGGCCCTGGGTGCTGTGCACTGCCCCTCCAGAGCGCTTTCTGCCCCCCGATCTCCAACGCCCCAAATCCAAGGGCATTTCTACCTGCGTTTACTCCTGGGCTAGAAGAGCCTGCAATGCAAGGGGACCCCCACCCGCCACCCCGCCCCTCCTCCTGGCCTGTCACTCTCCCTGGGAACCTCCACAACCAGATGCCAAGTCTCTCGGCCTTTTCCGGCGACTGCATGGCCATCACGGTGGTCAGGCCTGCCCGGAGGGGAGCAGCCCGGGTCCCGGGCGGCATGGGTGTCGCAAGGAGACCCCGAGGTGGCCAGGGGGAACTCGTGAACTCGGGGAGAGGCACTTTCCTGCCCTATCCACTCGGCCCGCCCTGGGCACCC